TTTTTTTTTTTTTTCTCTTTCCTTTCCCCAACATACGCGCGTACGCACTTACACGAGATCAAAAGCTTCATCAAATTATACTTGCTCGTACGCGTTTTACAAGATGCTACTTAAAAATAATATTCATACGATGCACTTCGATGAGAACCAACACACTTTGGGAATTCCTCACCGCTACTATTTATTTTGTTAAAAACTAACGGACGATTGGTACCAACGAATTTTCATTATTTATAATATAGGCAAATTATTATGTATTTTCATTTTTGAAGTTATACTTCTTTTTGCGCGTTTTGGAAAGTGAAGTTAGATGCGACCGAAAAATCGACACCACGAAGTTGTTCGATATTTACGATGCGCGCGCAAATTGAAGTTATTTTTGAGGTTATTGAGGTTATGTTCGTTTTGGTACGCTATAAAGAAGTATAACTTATTACGTGCGTACATAAGTAAACACATCAGTTTTTTTTTTTTATTCAAAATCGTGGTATCAATCCTGGATGACTACGCTTGGTTTGGTGGTGGTGGTGCGTCATACTCAAGGTTAAGGGTTTTAAGGGATGTGGTATAAATGGAAAATGTGCATCGAATTATCGACGATTTTCTGTAACAACATTTCTTACGATTAGAATATACAAAGTGCAAGTTTTTAAAATTCATGCGCATTAATTAAGAAATATATATATAATATGTATGCAAGTACGTGTTTATCGATATTAACTTTTAACGTATTCTACACCGTTGCAATTTCGATTTGTCTGACATAAGTTATATATCTTTCTTTTTCATTTATTTTTTTTTATATTTATGTCGAATAATTTTCTATATATATATATATATATATTTTATATGTATATATTATATATGTATATTCTAAAAGAGAAAACATCGACGTATCAATGTCGTTAAATAAATCGAAGTAAATATAGGAACGTGTTGAATGATTAAAAAAATAAAAAAAAAGACGATTTCACGTAATATATCTATATCAGACTTTCATTTATATCAGACGTTATAATATTTACAATATTTTTAGAGCATCGATCAATTAATCGGTTGGTACGCATTTTTACACGTATATGATATATTTAAAAGGTAATTAATTATTATTTAATATCTCTCGCTCTTATATAAGAAATTGGGACTGACGTACACAATTGTTATTAAATTGGCAAGAGAATTAATTAGATTAATATACGTGTTTCGTTGATCGATGACATAAACGTCAATTAAATAGTTTTTTACGATAACGAGTTTGGAACGATTGTAATATCTATTTATATATATATATATATATATGTATATATTGTAATAATCACATATATTCTCACAACCGTATATCAACTAATTTTTTTTTATTTTTATATTACGTTCCCCAGTTATTTCTCTTTATTCGTTATTATTTTCTTTCCTTTTAATACTTTCATCCGGCTAATTTAAATTCAGCCAAGTCAGTCTTTCGTTCTTGAATCCCGCAGGACTCGTGGCTGCAAACGAAAACGGTATCTTTCTGGATGGGCAAGGAAAGAAAGAAAGAAGCAATGGAATATAAATTAGTTGAACGAAAACAGCTTCTTCTATGATAACACAGTTAATAAGATGGAAATGCGATTGGTTAAAGGTAAATATTTATACGTGCTGACACACGCACACACACACACATACACACGCACACGCACACTCACATACACCCACACACACACACAGAGACAACGTATACATAGTGTCATTGATTAAGGAGGAATACAAAGCTGACTAATTGCAACTAAAATGCATGCGCGTTGTGCATTTTACTAATTGAATCAAACCCTCGCAATCGATTACGAATTGCTAAGCATTCGAAGAATAAATAACAGAGAGAGAAAGAGAGAAAGAGATAGAGAGAGAGAGAGAGTGAAATCAAAATGAATTTCGGTAAACGAGCCGATATTTGCACAAAGATGCTAGACAATGTCGTAAAAAATTCTTCGATACGCCAAATATCTCGTTGAAAATCTTGCAGAAAAAAGTACTCTTTCTCATCTTTTGTTTTCTCCCAAACAATTTCATATTTATTTTATTAATTATAAAAAAAAACCCCCAAAAAAACAGTAAAGAACACTCATTGTCAGATACAAATAGAAATTTATTCGTTTTCATTTAATTTCAGGACTCGTTAATAATACGATCTCTTTATCTAAGAATAAAAATGATGTTTTTATAGGTTGTGTCATGTATCTACATTCAAAATAGATTTCAAATGAAACCTACTATCGTAGGTTTCACATGCTAGAGAAACGTTAACGCGTTTACTCGTATAACTAAAATGAATCACGTCTAGTAGTATGATATTTATTTCAAGGTATCGAAACAAATGGAAATATGGCAATAACACGATAAAGGAATATCGATTATTATACGATACACACACACACACACACAAACTCACCCCTAGTCCTACCCCCATCCCTCTTGTATATTCTCCTCCCCGTATTCGCAATATTTTCCTCTATCTCGAATGATCTAACGATTCACAGTTTGGCCTAGTTGCCGTGATTCATTTTGTATTTTCAAATAACACAGAAAAGTGCAGTAACCGAAATTCGTTTACTTTGATTCGTCTAATACTTTGTTATTTTTTTTTCTTCTTCTTCTTCTTCTTTTTCTCTCTCTCTCTCTCTCTCTCTTTCTTTTTTTTCGTAACGTTTCATGCCGCATGAAAATTTATCGAGCCATGCTGAGACGAACGAAAAAATGTTTTTTTTTTTTCTTTTCTAATTAAGCCATTTTTATTACTACGATATTAAAAAAAAAAAAGTAAGAAAAAAAAAGAAAAGAAAGAAAGAAAAAAAAACTCAGCTCGCAAATACGCAGGAATAATATTCGAATGATTTTATTTTACGGTGAAAACGAACAACAATGGAGAATTGTTTAGCGATAACAACGCGAATAAATTGTTCCTACTTTTTCTCTATATTTCCAATATAACTCTGGTTCTATAGTCAATGAAAAAAAAAAAAGAGAGAGAAAAATCAGGGAAATAAAAAAAAGTAACTCTCTTTCTATCTCTATCTCTTTCTCTCTCTCTCTTTCTCTACGGTTATCCAACACACGATTTTTGGGATACTATGCACGTGTTTCGATTTTCCCGCTTCTCTAAAGTATACACGCGTACGGAATTTCTAACTTTCATAGATATTCGCATTCCTCTATCGTTGTTCGTATTTTTAAGCTCTCGTCTAGCTTGAAACGAGAATTTGAACATCGAACCAGTCAGCAAATGTCACTTTCAATGGCAAGCTTTGGTTTTGTTTTTTATATTTTTATTTTTTTTTTTTTTTTTCGTAACAAAAAAGTACCGAATAACCACCATGCGATCAAATTTCTATTAAACATGCAAGATAGTTCCATTTATCATAGATTTGTGCAACTTATCTGACCTGTAAATACTGTGGTCCGTGTGGTTGCATATGATGACGGTGCCTTTCGTAATGTTGTTGAGGATGTTGCGGATCTTGTTGATAACACTCTTGCGGATATTGTTGCGAAGGTACAGGCTTCAAAACGTGATTTGTTCGTTTTTCCGGAACAAATTGTTGACCGGTACGTTCCATTGTATCAACGGTCAAACGGGGATCCTCTATTAGCGTGTTCGATGCTTTCGTACTAAAAGAGTACGTCAATTTTTCAATGAAATTCAATCAGTTAACATTTGTTTTATAGATAGAATTGGTTACGGGATTACACAAAAGTTATGAAAAAAAAAAAAACTGAGAAACCTCGTGAGCAGTATTTTAAGTGTTAACATAGTAATGAGATTTAGCCAATTGAAGAAAATATATTTTTTAAATTGAAAACTGAATAATTTACAATGAATAAAAATTGAAGGATTTTTACACAAATTACTGGATACAATTATTTGATAGGTTTAATAATGTGCATTAATATAAGTGCATGCATTGGAATAACGCTGACAATAAATAGTTAATATTATTGTATGTATGTAAAGAAAGAAAATAATGTATTGGAAAAATGAATTGGGATGATTGAAAGGTATTATGAGACTTTGTCTTGTAATTATAGAAAAAATATATCGAATTCTATTGTATATTAAAGTATTTTCAAATAATTATTCTCTGAGATTTATATTATTCATTCCTCACATCATTATAATATATATTTCAATAAATCAAATCCTATACACATATATATATATATATATGTATTTAACAATATAAAATATTTTAATAGGAATAAACACGATCGAGTATTATAATACAGTTCTACGTTTAGTCGTATGTTAGTCACAATAAAATAAAAGTTTGAATGCATATGTAACGCGTAGAATGGTATCATCGATATGACTTTTCATATAAATTTCTCAATATGTTCAGATGTATTTCGCTATACAATCTCTTATAATACAAAGAAAATCTAACGTGTACTTACCAATGTACTTGTTGCAACGCGGGAGCTGTATTTCTGGCTGTGCAACATCTATCAGATCTTAGGAAACAAACGAATCCCATTATCAGTACTGAAAGCACAGTGAAACCCCCAACGGCTCCGATAATGAGTGGTGTCTGAATCATAGGGAAAGTTTGTTCTATTAGAAATATTGCGAATATATACACACGAGCACACGTGTACTTGTTTAACAATAAGTTTGTTTAATGGATAACATACTTGAGAAAAAAAATTGCATTTGTTAGCGAATAGAAGAAAAATAGATAAAATAAAAATAATAATAATAAAAAAAATGTATAAAATATCATATACGTTTTTAACCCTTCTTTGCATGATTTTCTTTTTTTTTTTTTCTTTTTTTTTTTTTTTTTTTTTTTATCTACAGTTTAATTTGAAAA